TAACTCAGATTATCTCCAGAATATTCCTTTTATTAATTATCCTTCTTATTTTTGTATCTAGAAAGAATACATGATAATAAATTGAAAATAGCTTTCAAAGCTATTCATTCCCAACAATCCCCCACCTGAATAGTTTTTGAAACTATCTCTAAGCATCAACAGATCCATAAGATCGGGCAAAAGCTAAGGTATTGCGAAAATTTGAACCTTAGCGTAGTGGTTACACTTCGGATTTCATAAGGGTGACTCGTAGTCTTGAACCATGTCTCAAACAGTATAGCACACCGTATCTTTTTATTGAGTGATATTCTCTCATAGGCCGTTCGTTTATGGCCCTACAGATTGTCACGGTTCAGTGAATGCTCTAGCAACTTTGTGCCTCCAAAGTTCCATAGGGAGCGCCCCCAATCCCACATTCACATAGGTGAGTCTATCAGAAGTACCCCCAAAGTAATGTTCTTCACTCCACATGGAGTATAGATCTCATTAAGAGTTACTATTAACTCAACCTCCATGGCTTTGGGATTCATGCTTCACTATGCATGAACATTCTCAATATTACTCCTGACTTGGTATTACCCATTGAACCCGTTTCTTGGGATCTCCAGTCTATTGGGTCGGGTTACCATCACTTATAATTCATGGTTCGGTAGGCATAAGTCTCATACCCTTCATGGTATTTTGGACTTTTTCTCTACCTAGTCCTTTTGTCAAAAGTCCAACTAGATTCTTTTATAATCTCAAGTTCATCTTTTCGTCAAAGGATAAACTAGATTCTCTTTCAAGTGATCCACCCTTACTGCTCCAACAGTTAGGGACTCTCTCTTCCAATATTGTTCTCTTAACAAGCTTGTCACCTCTCACCATTTGTTACGGTTCTATTTAGCAATTGCTATCACAATCGATCAATACCGGCGGATACGGTCTTTCCTATAAGGGAATCTCTAGTAATGAACCTCTCAATCAAATTTCCTCTTTACTAGCCATTGTTAGCTCTATCATTTCTAATTTCTTAGTTGATTGAGCCATGATCATTTAGTTCTTAGAATTCCAAGACACAACTCTTCCAGTGATGTTTACAACATGCCCACTAGATGCCTTTGAGTCCTCTATAGGATATTCTCGTCCGCATCAATACACCCTACCAATACAACAAAAAACCGTCGATAACATATATCAAGGTCTACTGTTCTCTTAAGGCATCTCATGACCCCTTTAAATAGCATTCAATTTAATGCTTCATACTAGGACAATCAGTAAACCTGCCAAGTATCCCCACTATGTCGGGTCTCATGTTTATCAACTACCTCTCCCAGACTGTCGATGCTAGTATGTTTTTACTTTCTTACACCGTCTTTGGTGCTTTTAGAAAAAAAATTGTACTAGCATCTTCAAATACTTATGTAGGTGTACAAGTTGTATTTCTTCTAGATCTTAACTTCATAGTTAAAATGATCTGTAGAAAGTCTCTTTTATTATTTGGATCTCCAAGCATAACACTTGCTTCATCCAAATCATTCAAAATTCTCAAACATCATGGTTTTTAACAATATTGACAACACTAGTTTTTGTACCAAAGATAAATGTGGCATTCATAATGCAAGTGTCAAATTTGTACTAATTGAACTTGTCACTTTCATTTTAAAACCACGAGAGAGAACCTAATTATTCATGCCACTATTTTCGAGTCTATTTCAAATCCTATCATGATTTGACTAACCATAGACTCTAGAATCATATTCAATAACAACCTTTTAGGTTGTCTCGTGTAGATTTCTTTATCTAAGTCACCATTCACGAAATAGTTTTAACAATCCATGTGATGCACAATATTAGCAATCAGAACGTATTTGGATGTTATTCTAGATGGAGTGAATAGATAGCAAAGAAATCCACAAATTTTACTTATTGCATAAAGTTTTAGCTAGTATTCGATCCTTATACTCATAAACAAAACCATCATTTTTCTTTTTAAGAATCCATTTATTACTTATGGCTTCATTGCCAAGAGGCAATTCTCAAATATGCCGAATCTTGTTCGATTCCATTTATGACCCATGGCTTCATTGCCACGGCTTATGCCCGAGAGGTAACTCTACAAGATTCTAATTTTTATTAGACTCCAATCAATCCATTTCGTTAATAATGGATTCTCCCAAAAATCTACATCTTTATGGAAGTTCGAACTTCTAGCAGCCTTGTAGGATCTTTCTTTCTTATGGTGTAAATAAAAATTTATAACCAAAATCCTTTCGTGATTTATAGTTCATTTGTCTCTTCTGAGTTCATACTCAGATTTATCACCCCCACTAGTTCCATTATTTCTAATAACAGGTGGGATATCACCCCCCATTATTTCTAATAACAGGTGGGATATCACCCCCACTATTTCTAAATTTAAATGGAACTTTGTTGGCATCATCTAGATAGATTCCATAAAATTGAGTATTCAGATCATAAAAACTATATGTTTGACATAATTAAACACACTCTTAAACTATATTAAACTATATTGTCAAAAAAACACACTCTTATGCCCTTCAAGTTATCATGTTACACTGATTCTTTTAACTCTACAACATGCATGCAACTTATTGAATAATCAGTTCAACCATTAATAATGCTATAAAGCATTTCAAATATTTCCATATTAGCATCCAGACAAACAGTCAGAGCATTCCAAATAACAATAAATAAGATCTTTCAATTCTGATTCTATAAACATTTTTTTATGGGTTATTTAGCTTGGATACAAAATTCATTTTTCTAGAGGTAAGATTCTCTTCCACTTTCCAAAACCATCAACCATAGTGGTGAGCAGTGGCGTAGCCAGCCTTTTTATTCATTAGGGTCCTTACAAATTTACTAATACTATGCTTGAGTATCTAATGAACTTTGAGTTGATTGGGGTCCTTATGTGAGCTAAGATCGACGAGATTATGAGGTCCTAAACTTGAATAATCATAGAAAACCCTATATATCTATAGGATTTTGTTCGTATTTTTGGCCAAGTGGGGTCCTAGGACCCCTCTCCTTGACACTTCCCTCCCCCACTAGTGGTGAGGGCAGTGCCCAACAACACTTTCTTCTTCAACATGCCTGAATGTATGATTGAGCTTAGCTCGTTTATCACACATATATGTTAAGGCGCCTGTATCCAACAACCATTCTTCAGAGTTACCATTAAGGCCAACCTCTGACATCACCTCAGTGACTATTACTATTCCTCTTCTTTAATCAAGTTAACGCTAGGTTATACTTGTTCTTACACTTTCACGTCATATGACCTAGTTTCCCAGAACCATGGCAGAAAAGCATAGCATCATTCTTGGAGGATTGGTGGACAATCTTATGGTTACCATGATTGATATCATTCTAATTTGTGTGGATATGGTTCGACTTACTACTATGATTCTTAAAGTGTTTAGGCTTCAGAGCAGATCGAGTGATTCACTTAATACTTACTAAAAATATTTCCATTCTCATAATCACATATTATTCATTCATACAAAATCATTTCATTCTATCTCATGGCATGCATATACCATTGTATTCTAATCATCGAGGAAAGAACATTTCAATGTCAACATAATCATGCATCAATTCTAGTTTAACTTTTCTGCATTCATATGATTTCTTAACACCATCCATAAAGCTCTACGAAACAAATTCTAATTTATCATGTAATAACGACTCACGAGAACTGTTTAAGTTCTTACCTCTTCTTAAGAAGCCGTAATTTCACAATAAATAGTTAGTTTGTGATTTAGCTTCCAATTGACAATCTTTTGTTAGAGTACCGCTCCCACTATCTTGTTGTCCCTCGGCATCCATCCTAGCTCGACTCTGGCATGGGGCCTGTAGAATTCTACACAAAATGGACGTGTGTACACTAAAATTCAACAAAAAAGGGCATTCTTCCATTTACTTGGCCCAGGTTCTAATTTTAATGGCACTTGGGCTGGTCATAAGTGGGCTTGTCATAAAAGTGGATCTGGTCTTCGACTAATTCGAGGCCAATCAATAGTGAGCTCGGGCGGGAACTTGGGAAGGACAACCATTGCTTGCCGTGCTGTTCTCCACGAAACCCTTCCATCCAATTCTACCTTCCCACCACGTGTACCACTCCCGCACGGAACTGACAAGAAGCATGAGGTTTCCTTCCTTTTCCCCTTGCTTTTCCCTTATGCAGGTGGGACTCATGGAAGAGAGCAGTAAATTGTTCACTAATAATTAAATGGACAAAAGCACTAATTGAACAAGAGATGGGATTGAGAGCACCATATTACTGTACGGAATTGAGGGCAAACAATTAATCCCTTCCGCCGCCATTTGTCTCGATTACGAATTCCCATCGTGCATTCTTCCTTCACTTGGGTCGGATGTGGCTACGGAGCGATGGATCGTTCAACCCATAATCGGCATCTTTTTCATTACACATAACAGCAACCAAACGTTTTAAAAATTGTTAAAAACCGAACAGAAAAATTAGGGTTATCGATTTGGCTGAGTCGCGGACTAGGTCGCTTTCTTTAAGACGTTCGCGGCATTGCCTTCGTTGCGCACGCCAGACTATCAATCGGTCGCCTCCAGGATAAAACAACCATTATGATTTGTTGCTCATCGGTTTTGTGCGAAAACCGAAGCTCTATGAACTCATTTTCTCTCGTGTTTCTGCTCTTATAATTGTGTATTTAGAGGGTCTGGGTAGTCCTCTATTTATAGTAGTAGAAAACCCAGAATTCCCCACTTTCGTGGAGGATAAGTCATGTTTATTTCGGAAGATAATCACTCTCATAATTAAAACGCGTTCTATTGAGATAATTAACTCGAATTATCTCAAGCAGTGTAGTCAAAATCGCGCTTTAAATCGTTAAAACTTACATTTTTATGTATTGGGCTAATACCACTACAACACCCGAACTATCCCGAAAATGCCACTTGTGTCCTATTGTTTCCAATATTCCATCTGTGTCCTGAACTATGATACTTTGTGCCATTTGTATCCTGCGATTTCATTGACCGTTATCTCTAACGGTTGACTTGACGGTGGTCAAAGAGATGTTGACTTTTGCTGACATGGAAGAAAACGTGGCATCCACGTAGATGCCACATCATACCACATATACTTTTTAATTCAAAATCAAAATAAAATGCAAAATAATTAAAAAATCACTTTCTACCCACCGTCGCCTTCAACCCGCTCCCAACCCTACCCCCGCCTTCAATTCTACCATCACTGCCGCCTTCAAATCCCTTCCTCAAATCAACATTTGTGGCAACGATATCTTGCCGCCGCCTTCCCCCACGACAAGCTGCTCTTACAACGACCTCGCTTCCTCAACCCTCTCCATCTGGAATCTATCACCATCGTTGAGAGTTCTTGAATCCGAATCGATGACGTTGAAGGAGAAGCAGAAGGCAACAGTGGATGTGGCTGTTTGGCTAGGGATTGAGATAGGGAGGAGTTCTTTGCGGCGGCGGATCTTGCTAGGGCAAGGAATTGGGAACCTTGGATGAAGTGTCGATTGAACTGGAGGGCGGTACGGTTGTTGGCTCGCTGCCTGGGTAGGAATAGCCATGGAGAGTGGAAAGATCTGGAGCCGCTGCCGCTTCCCATCGGCCACGTATCGATCGAGTCTCGCCGCCACCAACTGGGCTTCTCGTTCTTCGCCGGATTTGAATCCACCATCTCTTCGACAACGACGAACAGTGGAGAAGATCTGGTTTGTGACGAAAACGGGAGATGGTGATTGCGATGATCGCCACTTCGAAGGCGCCGTCCGTCGCCATGGAGAGTGGAAAGATCTGGAGCCACCGTCGCTTCCCATCGGCCACGTATCGATCGGGTCTCGCCGCCGCCAACTGTGCTTCTCGCTCTTCGCCGAATTTGAATCCACCATCTCTTCGACAGCGACGAACAGTGGAGAAGATTTCGAGCTCTCTGGACGCCGATCGGATAGGGAGTAGTGGGTGGATGAGAACGGTGACTTCAAACAGAGCCATCGATCTGGAGCTCAGAGAGAGAAGGGGATTGAATTAAGGGATTGAGTCTGTCGATTGTGAGATGGGAGATAGAGAGGGAAAGATTTTGGGATTTTCATTTTGTTTTCCTTGTTTTTATTATTTTAGATGGAAAAATAAATAAAAATTGATAATGAAAATTCCACGTCAGATGCCATGTCAACGCTGACTGGATTTTCTGTTAAATACTAACGGTCAACACCGGTCAACACTAACAAAATAAAAGTTCAGGACACAGATGGAATATTGGAAACAATAGGACACAAGTGGCATTTTCGGGATAGTTCGGGTGTTGTAGTGGTATTAGCCCTTATGTATTTAGGTCACTAAAACGATTAAGATCCCACCTAAAATCGTTTTTCTCACAAAATTGTTAAAATCGTATATAAAAATGGTAAAAGCGTTAAAATCGTACAAAAACTCGTTTTTACAGCGTTTCTATGCGATTTCATGCACTATCCAGAAAAGTAACATTTGCACCAAAGTGACACCATTTTAATGTTATAAAATTTATCTATAATAAAACAAATGGACATAAATTTTAAAAGGCGCTCGAGTATCTGAATCTCTAGTACGAAATGGAAACAACCGCAACTCCAAATCCCTATATGGTGCCTCTACCGTCACCACTCCCCAGTGCTCTCCACCTAGGGGTGGGATTTCGGTTTCGGGTTTTCAGGTTAAACCAAACCCGAATCGAAAATATTATTTTCAGGTTTCGGGTTTTTGGTTTCAACCCAAAATGAGATACAAAATGGTTTCGATTGATGTAACCCGAAAACCGATACAAACCCGAAAAACTCGAAAGTTGTTGTTGGAGAATGGAGGGTGGGGACTTGTGACTTTTACGGTGACGTTTGGGACAATGGACCTCTAGGGTTCAATCTAGGGTTCTTCCTATAGTTTTTGGGTTCCCGGTTCTGATAATGACAATGAGTGAAGACCCCTCAGTTGTTAGTCAACTAGTTGTTTAGAAGAGAGTGACGTGGATCCTATAAAGTTTGTTTTCGGTGTGTTTGTAATGAACTAGTTTTGTGTTGTTGAATTTGTATGTCTTATGCTAAATTGTCAAGTAGGAGGCTGATTCAATATATGTTGTTTTGTTGGCGTAGAGAGTTTGAGATTAAGTGTTTTGCTTTTGCTTTGCTGCCTAGCCTAAGTGTTTCTGGCTAACAAGTGCGGTTTACTGTTTCACTAGTGTATAGCACCAATTTAAAGACCCCTTAGTTGATAGTTGCTCACTTTGCTTTTTCATTTTGGCAGAGAGAGTGAGGCCCAATCGGCTTCTCATCCAAAACACGGAGGGCGCTCTAGGAGTACCGATATTCCTCATATACCTCCCACACCATCTTCTGATCCTACTCCTGCTCCTGCTACTACACCGTCTACCTGTACCACAAATGTACCTCCTCCTCAAACAGCAGATGAGGAGACGACTTCAAGAAAAAGGAAAGGAAAATCTTACGTTTGGCCACACTTCAAGCGTTTTAAGATGGATGGAGTGGACAAAGCTCGATGCAATTACTGCAATGGTGTTCTTATTGCTCCCACTAGATAGTAGTGGTTGCCAAAATAACGTTGTTTTTGTCCATAGGTCGGTGTCAAATAACCCTTTTGATTCATTAGTTTTGTTCCCTATGACATGCCGCAAAAATTTTGTTGAAAAAGAAGTTGTAAGCTTACCTTGTTTTTTACGTGATTTGCTTGGGGACAAGCAAACGTTCAAGTGTGGGGGAATGATTCGGGTCCAATTGTACACAGTTTGCCCCTCATATCTTGATAGTTTGGGTTTGCATTTTATCATCCCTCGACATATTTCATGCAAGGTTGTGCTTGTTTTGATACATTTCAGGTCCTAGCACGTGTGGGAAGGTCGAGGACGAGTTTCGGGTCGATTGGAGGTTGAAAAGTGCCAAAAAGTGATCTTGACAATTGTCCCGTAATAGTGAAGCGCATGCGTCCATGAAGCAGTCGCTCTTCATGGTCCAGCATTAGATTTCACGGTCTCCCAAACCGTGAACTGGAACCTCAAACCGTGAACAGCGAGGCGTCCAGCGAGGTTCCAGAGGTTACTGACGACTAGGCAGTTAACGGTCTCTAAGACCGTGACCTTTGAGTGTAAACCATGAGCTCTGGAGAGTGAAGCAGTGCATTTTGGAGACGATGCTGAGTTCATGGACACATTAAGGTGTTCACGACCGTGAATAGAGGTCGTGAACTGGGCTTGACCTGAGTATAAAAACAACAGCAGAAGGAAGAAGATGGGAGAGCTAGTTTTTGGAGAAGGAACACTTTCTTTCTCTAGTGTTTCAACCCAAAACACCAAAGGGGAGTTCTAGTGTGAGAGACAGTGATTTTGGAGCTTAATTGAAGGCATTGATCAAGCTTGGAAGCATGGAATCAAGCCTAGAAGAAGAAGATGAAGATCTAGAGGTTTCTTTGTAATATCTCCCCTCTCTCTAGAAACTCACCCTCTTCTCTTGGGTTTAAGAACCCTAGGTCTAGATTTGGGTTTAATGTTGATGTATGTGACAAACTCTATGATTAATTGATGATTTTACTTAATTGATAGATGTTTTCATGAATGGCATGAGTTGGGTTTCCATTTTCATGTATTGAGCTTTTGACCTAGGAGGGAGATAATCCCCTTAGAGCCTCCTTTTGGCGTCTTCGGGTCACTCCTATCGTATATTGTCCATGTAGTCCCCGAGGGAGTTGATTCGACCGGTCTCCTAGCATTATACGAAACCCTAAGTTGAATAGAGCACTACCTATCCATCGATTCACCGTTCCAGGTCATTCCAGAGGGAGTCCATCTCCAAACGGTAGTGTAGTTGAGTCGATCGAGCTAGGAGGATACCCAACATCGATCCAAAGAACGGACCTAGGACAATTCAACCCAAGAGAGCTCCCCATCTTGTAAATAGCTAGGTTAGTGGTTAGTCTAGGTTAGTTAGTTTAATTCTATCAATCACTATCCTAGGTTGGCTAGATAACGAGTCCTAAACCTGAAGTAGGGTAAGCCTAGATCCCCGTGGTACGATAAATTCTTATTGCTTGCTTGCCCAAGGCTACACCTAGTCGGCGGTTATACTTGGCTGTCGATTGGGATGTTGTGGTAAGAACGAGTTAGTAAACCGCCAAACTAATTGATAGTCGAACTGATAAGAAACGGTTAATCGATAAGGCTTATCATTCAGTTATCGGTATGAGATTTTTTCTTATTAGTTAACCGATAAACGGTATATCAGTTAATGGTTAACCAACACCGAGCAGATTACCACCACAACTTAAAGTAATCGGACCAATGGTCCGAATTGGAAGCTAGTTTGTGTTTATTAAAATAAATGCATAATACAAAACCTCTTCCCTACATAACCCTACAAAACTCCGGTCATATCATCGTATCACGACATATGAATACGATAATGATACGATGATACAACGAGAGTATTCGCTCTCATAAAAATTGTTATGTGACTATAGTACATGTTATTGCTATATTATTCCTTTATATAAAAGCCAGGTCTTGGTCCTGAGAAACATTTTGGATCTGACACGTGTCCAAATGCCCGAAAATACTCCCATTATTTTCAAATATATTAAGAATTTTCCATTAAATTTTAGTCCCTCTTGCATCTTAGCCTCCCTATTAGGGGGCTAAGATCAGGTAACTAGGGGGTCCTCTTAGTCAAGTGACTAAGTGAATAGCCCTTCCACCTCATTAAAATCTAATGGCTCAGATTAATCCATTTTAATAAATAGGAATTGCAAACTTTATTAATTATCAATTATTAATTAATTAAAAAATTCTATATTTCTGTGGCTTCTCTTCCCCGGCCGAAAACTGGGAAATATATATCTTCCATGGAGTTCCCCCGAGAGAGAGAGACCGAGAGAGAGAGAGAGAGAGAGAGAGTTTCGGCGACGAGAATTTTCCGGTGCCGACGGTGGAGGTTTTCTAACGATGGGGATTTCCGGTGATAGCAGCAGCTTTGTGATGTTTGTCGGACTATTTTGTAATGTTTGTAAGCATGTTTTGTAATGTTTGTATCGATTCTGTTTATATCGTTTATCATTCTAGTTTGTAATGTTTGTAATGTTTATACATTGTAATTTGTAATGTTTGTTTGTCTAGTTTGTATACTCGATGTTATGATTTGTATACTTTGTATTCATGGATTTGTAATACAAGTTTACTGTTTTGTATTGTAAGTAGTGGCAATTTGTACTGTTAGTATGTTTTGTAATGTTTGTCATTCTAGTTTGTAATGTTTGTATAGTTCGTATGTTTCATATTGATTGTATGTTTTGTCGCTCTAGTTTGTATTGTTCGTATGTTTGTATGGTTTGTACTGTTTGTAAGTCCAGTTAGTATACTTCGTAATTTTTCATAATACCCAAAATACCCTTGTCATTAATTAAATAGTCATTCCCACTTTTTAACCGTCAGATTTGTGTGTCCAGATCTAACGGCTAGGATGGGCTTAGCCAAGTGACTAACCACCCCACCTTAGTCACCAGATCTGCTCTCGGGTGTACATGGGTCGGGTGGTCCAGATTTAGCCATTTTAATCATCTGATCCATGCACTACAGTTTGGAAAATATTAAACCCAAACTCATCCAAAAAAATTAAAACCTTACGGTTTAATTCTAATTGGGTTGGATCGGGTTGGCGATATTTTTAAGTAAAACTCAAACCAACACAAAATATATAATTATTCTAATTTTATAACTAATTAAAATTTCAAATGAATAAAACGAGGTGAAAGGTATCAAAATTCACAAATGTTGTTTAAATCTTAAAAAAATGTCATTTACTTCGACATTTGTCTAGTTTTTTCATGATTTTTGTTGAAATAGGCTAGAAATATTATAAACGAACGCATCCATAATATTTATTCTATTAAAATTGTACACAAGAAAAAGGATTATGCTAATCATAGCGATTAAATCTATGTCTAAACTTTAAGCCGAAGAATGCATTAGATTAGGGAGATCATGAGCGAAAAACATGACGAAATATATTAATTTTCTCATAAGTATGGCTATATATGACATAAATAGTTTTTGGATACGAACTCATACCAATAGTTGGAACACGAGTTTTTGGATACGAACTCATACCAATAGTTTTAGCGATAAATACAGATAGATTGGGTCGGATTGGACGGGTGGGTGGATTTGCGGGTGTGTTTGTTCACCCCTACTGTCTATTATGGCCCAACAACCTATAAAGCTCTTCCCTTATTCTCACTTCAGGCGTTGAAGGACCAGGGGATAGGGGTAGGCAGCGATTCAGGATATGAAACCGAAAGAGGTTTGAAAAGGCAAAAATTAGATTAGGAAACAAAAAAT